CGTGGCTCTTCCCTACCCCTCCCACCTTCCCTTCTCCTTCCTCTCCCCTCTCTGGATCAGTCTTCTCTCTCCCCGTCCTGGGAGGCCCCTCCCAGCCTCGCGTCCTCACCCCGCGGGCTCCCAGAGCCGCCCTCCCGCCCTTGGGACTCTCAGGTTCCCAAGTTCTGAGCTGACGGCCGAGTCTCCTAGCCAGGGATCCGGGGGCAGGGCTGTCAGGCCGGAGCCCCCGAGCTGGAAGAACCTATGTGACACCAATTTTCTCTCTCTCTTTCCTGTCCGCCCCGGACTCTGGACGCTGCCTGGAGGGATCAAGTCGGCCCCCCGTGAGGGGAACGAGGAACGGGCTCAGAGGCTGGAAGCGAGCTGCCTAAAGACACAGCAGGTAGGTGGCGGGGCGGGGACCGGGTGGGACGCCCTGCACTTGACGGGGAATCGGCGCCTTGACTCTGCTGAGCCGTGGACCCGGGCCTGAGCTTGGTGAGGACGGGGCGGCCTCCTTCCCGCGCCATTCTCCTCCCCAACCCTCCGCCGTCGTCCCTTCCTCAGGCGGCGTGGGAGGACTTCGCCCACCGCCGACTCCACCGATGAGGAAACAGGCGCCAGGTGGGCCTGAAGACCAGCATCCGCCAGGACGGAGACCTCAAGGGAGCCCCGACGGCGTTTCCAGAGAACCGACGACGCCCCCCGCAGAGCCCTTCTCTCCGCCAAGACGGCCCACGTGGGTCGGCGAGAGGCCCCAGGATCGGTCACCGGAGAGGCTCTCTCGGACTGCGGTCGTCCATCGCCACCTACCGGCGGAAGACAAAACTGCAACTCAGCTCTAACAGACACTGGGACCGGCGGCCCCAGAGGACACTGCCTGGGGGTGAGGGGGGGCCTGGAGCGGGCGGAGAGAGGATTTGCCAAATTCTGTAAAAATCAAAAACTCTTCTACGCCTAACCAATGTATAGACATCATACTCAGCAAGCTTCTTGGTATGCCAGCTTAGAGCTCCAACTGCATATGTTTCCAAATCACGGGTGGTGGGTTCTCTCCTGCATTGCCATGGAAACGCAGGTCAGTGCTTTGGGAAACGCAGGAGAGTGGGATTCAGTTTATACAATGTGCTGGGGAGCCTATTTCTAGGAATTGGAATCAAATTGAGTTTGATTCCTCTACCATGAACTATCTGAATGCAAGGTGGCTGCAAGGAAAAGTGAATGGCTGACAGCCAGCCAAACATTAGTCCCTGATCCTCACCTGGAGTCTCTCTGGCTAGATAAACCTCTAGAGTTGTTTCCAGATGCTACTGCTTCAATGCACAACTTGGGGTGGCAAACATTCTTTAAAAACACTAAAATCAACCTTATATTAATATATTTTAAAAGAATACTTGCCAAACAACTATCTTGTGTGTGTGCTCAGTCACGTCCAATTCTTTGCAACTTCACGGAGCCCACTGGGCTCCTCTGTCCATGGGATTTCCCAGGCAAGAATACTGGAGTGGGTTACCATTTCCTTCTCCAGGGGATCTTCCCCACCCAGGGATCAAACCCACGTCTCTTTCATCTCCGGCACTGGCAGGCAGGCTCTTTATGGCTGAGCCAGCTCTTCTCAATAACCCAGATGACAGTATGAAGGCCTAGGTGGGGGGAGGGGTTTCCCCAGTGCCAGGGAACAGGTGGCATTCTGTGGGGTGGGAAATTGGGGAGGGGCCTTCCCTCCACTGAGTATTTGCCTTGCGGGTGCTCACCTGTTTTAGACCAGACCTCAGGAGGCTAGGGTGAAGAAGCCGGAGAGAGTGAGGGCTGAGCTCGGCGGGGGCTGAGAGGAAGGCATGAGACAGGACGAGGAGCGGTGGGGCTGTGGGCATGGGAGAGGAGGGAAGGTGTCTGCAATCTGGCCTGGGGGCATCTAAGTGAATCAGGAACCAAGGCTGGGGTAGTGATTCATGAGGCGGAAGAGGAGACCAGAGGGCCTCACAGGCCAGGCTGAGGGCTGGGAAGCCAAGGAGCAGAGGCGGCTCTGAGTCAAAAAGCCCTCCATGAGGGGGAGGGCCTGGAGGGGGCACACTGGAGGCTGGGGAGGGGGTCCGGGTGCAGGAGGAGGAGGCCAGGGCTGGGGCCACAGGTGAAGGGAGGAGGCAGGGAAGAACAATGGGCAGGTGGCCCAGCCCGCTGGTCTGAGGCTGGGGGTAGGGGCGCACCACTCACTGTGGGGCGTGTCCATCTCTGTGCATTTGTGCTAAGTCGCTTCAGTCGTGTCTGACTGTGTGACCCATGGACTGAAGCCCACCAGGTTCCCCTGTCCAGGGGATTCTCCAGGCAAGAAGACTGGAATGGGTTGCCATGCCCGCCTCCAAGGGATCTTCCCAATCCAGGAATCGAACTTGTGTCTCTTTCGTCTCCAGCATCTGCAGGCGGGTTCTTTACCTCTAGCACCACCCAGATTCCTGGGTGACACAGACTCCCTCATCGGTCCCCAGGGCACAAGGGGAAGGAGCCTGGGGTCTAGAGAACCTGGAGGGGAGTCGGGGCTGGAGACGGGCTTGGGAGCCATCAGGAAGGGTTGCTCCCAAGCTCCAATGTGAACGGGCGGCTGGTCTATGGAGGTGGGGGTTGGGGGTCCCATACACGAGTGGGGAATCAAGCAGGCACAAAGGGATCCCTGCAGCACCCAAAGGTCCATCGACAGGAGACCAGTAGGATCCACTCAGAGCCAGCCATGACGTGCAAGGAGAACCACTCCATATCAGACACGGAAACCTCCCTGACTTGTCAGGTGGTGGGGTGGGGGTGGGGAGCTGGGGTAACGTATTTTTGCAAAAACTGTGTACATAGACTTGCTTATTTCTCAAAGGAGTTTCTACAGAGTCAGGCGCAGGAGACTGAAAGCTCGGGCTGCCCCCCAGTGCAGGGAAGAGGTGCCGGGCTGGGGTGAGCAGAAGGCTCTGTGCATTGGATGCTACAGAATCCTTTGGGTTTCGTTTGATATCCCCAGATACCCTGATCAATCAAAAGAAAACTGACTGCACTCTCCAGGGACAGGCAAGACTGAGAAGAGAAGTTTAACCGGGACAGAGCCCCAGGGAACCGGCACCAGCTCGGACACTGACTAGAATATGCCACAGAGTAACTCTGCCGGCTTGAGAGTGGCTGAGAAAATCTAAGAAGGAAGTAATCAGATAAAGACCTCAGATCTCAGGTTACTAAAAAAAAAAAAAAAAAAAATGGTCCAGCAAATGACTGGCAGGAGATCACAGCTGCAAACTAAAGGATCAAGAGCTCTTCATTTGAGAGCACTGCCCACGAAAGCGTCAGTGACAGAATTCACATGGAGCAGGAGAGATATCAGGGCAGCATCTCCTACTGTTGGAGAAAGAAACGCCAGTTAGAGCAACTCGGGGACCCTTTCAGGACTTAAAGCTACCAAAAAAGTGGGCAAACCAATAACCCCCAATGCTGGCAGGTGTGTGACCCAACCATCACACTTGAAAACACAGAGGCAGTGTTTCTCAGGCCTCTTGTCACTGGGCAGAGGGGTGGCTGGGCAGGGCCAGTGGGCTCTGAGCTCCTGGAGCCAGGGGGAGCCGCAGCAGGATTAGAATCCAAGGGCATCAGAAGACAGAGGGCACACGGAGGTCTCGGCACCATCGATGAGTCACAAGAGGAACTCAAAGACACAAACACCGCCATGAAGCAAAGGACAAGAGCAGCTCTCAAAAACACCAACTGCGCCGCCGCGGTCTGCAGTCCTGTATTTCGGTCAAGCGTAGATTTTGTGAAAAAAGTAGGTGGAGGGCGGGCTGAGTGAGCTCAGTGTCCCTTTCTGGTGGCACACGGAAGACAGGGCCACTCTCTGGACATGGCCAAGGACAAAACCGCAGAAGATATAGACCTGGAGCATAACGGCAAGGACAGGTCAGTGCACAATCCCCAACTTACTACTCTGGTTACAGAGAGCGGCCAACAGCCTTCCCTGCTGGCTGGTGCTGGCTGTCACTCCAGGAGGGAAAATTACCTGATCGAGTCATCAGGGACACTCCACCAGGCATCTTCCTTGGCCATTTGGTCTGCTCGCAAAATGTCTCTAACCTATTGTAATTCTACTTTGAGTCATGCGTCCTCGGGAAGTCAAACTCACACCAGGGACAGGCAGGTGACAGCCTTCGACGGCACGCTATTTATAACCACATAAAGCAGGAGGCAAGCTGAACGCTGAATATTTAGGGCTCTCTTTAATAAACTGCTACACATATACACACCGTGGAGCCTGATGTCACTGTTACCATGACAATGGCGGCCATATTTTTGACGTTTCTGAATCACACACCTAGCCACCCGCAGAATTCAGTAGCGCCTGTACATCCTGACAGTCTCTTAGCCTAGTTAACAACTGTTTGCCTGTTAAGTTGCAAGCTGCAACTTTCCCAAACATTTACCTATTTCAATTATGTTGCCAATGTTTTTAAATAGACAGAAGGAGAAAGGGAGATAAATGGCAAGGAGTCAGCAAAGTCCCAGGGCAAAGACCAGCTGGGAAAGGGGTTCTCTACATCATCTGGGCCCTGACTCCGCTGCACGGTAGTCAGCTCTGTTTTGACTTCCAGCATCACTGGTTCAAGCCCCAGAGCCTCTGGAGGGCCTGGCGTACTAATAGCAGGAATTCCCAACTCCCACTAGAGCCGTGGGCAGATACAGGCCAGAGCAGCGGGAGCAGGGCTGTGCAGACGGAGTGAAAAGGGGGCGCCCAGGGCCGGCCCACCCTGCTCTGTGCCAGCTCTGGGCTTTGGGGACCCCCAGAGTGCCCTCAAGACCACAGAGAGGAAGCTGGTGTCCCAATCCAGTGTCAGACAAGTGAGGGGGACCCCCTGGCCTGGCGGGGTGAGACCAGATAAAGGCACAGAGGCCGGAGAGAACCAGGCATGTTCCCACCCCACAGGGCTTGGGGTGCGGGATCAGGGGACCGGGAGCGTGGGCTCTACACTGCGGTGGAGCCAGGGGGGAAGGTGGGGTGCAGCAGGGCCCAGAACCCAGCCACCCCCACACCCACAGTAACTCCAAGCACAAGAGGGGAGGGACACATGGGGAGGGGGCGCCCTCCGACACCCACAGGACGGGGAGATGGTCCGGCCGGAGAGTCCTCCTAAGATGACCAAGGGAGCGGGCACGCTGGGCAGGAAGGGTGTGCTCCGGGAGAAAGAGGGCGGGCGGCACCCCGGCCCCGCGCCCCTCACCGGCCGCTGCCTCCGCCACCACCGCCTCCGCCGCCGCCCTGGCCCCCCGCATCCGGTGCTCCCGACATCATGAGGAAGAGGACGACTGGGACGATGTACATCCACTGTGAGCCGGCGGCACGGGATGGATGGACAGGCGGACAGAGAGACNCCCCCACCCCCAGCCCAGCTCAGGCCCCCTCTCCTGTCCTCGGTAGGCATGGACCCCACCCCTCCCCGACCACGCCCCCTTCTGCACTCCCTCCAAACGGAACAGACTGACACTCCCTGTCCCTGGTCTGAGCCCGGCCCAGGCACCCAGTGAGCTGGCCCCGGCTCCCCTCACTGCCCAGCTCCAGGGCGGGCTGTTTTCTGAGACCGGATGCCCCGTGACCACCGCCACGAACGGACACAGGAGGGCGGGTGCGGGGCTCCAGCATTCTGCCCAGGGGCCAGGGAGATGAGCACAGAGACCAAGCCGGCCCTGCATAGAGGAGGGGAGCTGAGCAGGACGAAGCAGGACTCAGGATGAGAGGGAGAGGGCCCTTCCCCAGGGCCTCAGGGGCGTGCAGAACCCCACTCACATATTTAGCGAAGAAGGACTTCTGCTCCTGGGGGTTCTTGGCCTTCTGGGCCTGCTCCATCTCCAGGCGCTCAATGAAAGCTGCTGTCTCAGGCCTGGGAAGGTAGGGGTAGAAGCAGAAGATGGGATGAGGCGCCCCCACCTCCCCTACCCCCCCAGAGGGCCCAGAAGGGTGGCGGGAGGGGCAGCGTGGGAGGCTGGCCCGGCCCGGAGGGGCCTGGCTCTGTCCCCTTCCCGCACCCCATCCTCACCCGGGCGCAGTGACAGGCGGCTGCAACTGCACAGAAGTGTTGAACAGCTCCAGGTCCACGTCCTCCACCTCGTGGCCCCGGCAGCCCCCAGGGTACGTCACCACCGACACGCCCACCACATTGCCGGCCACATCCACGTGCAGGGTCAGCTGGTCCGAGAGGTGAGACTCTACCAGGGAGCACTGTGGGCAGAGGGGAGGGGGCTGAGAGGAGGAGGGCCAGCAGGGGCTGCTGCCCAGGCTTCGCCCACACCAGCACGCCCCCGCATCCCATGGGGCCCCAGAGGCATCTTTAAAAGCCCTCCACGTGACCCCCTCCCACCCCACCAACCTCAGGTGGAATCAGCAGCCTCTCCAGCGCCCACAAGGCCCTGAGCTGCCCCATTGGAGCCCCCGCCAACTGGACTGCCCCTCTCCAGCCCAGGAGACCCTCAAAGGCAAAACCAGGTCCGAGCCTTCCCCATCCTTAAATGCTGGGCCACAGACAATGGAGGCCGAACAGTAGGACCTAGGCTGGAGCGGTTGGGCGAAGCAAGGATGGGGCCCAGTCCTCGTTGCTGACTCACCGCGGGGACAAAGGAGGAGACGTAGCCTCCGGCTTCTGAGCCATCAGGGGCCCCAGGCCGCCGCGGGACCCGGACACGGTACAGGCCATTCAGCGCTGCCACGTCCTGCAAGGGCGGAGAGGAAGAGGTGGTGGTGAGCGAGGCAGCGCCCAGCCCCCACCAAGTCTGCACCCCCCACGGGGCCCCCAGCCAGGAAGGCCCAGCCAAGCCCAAGACTCCTCCCACTGGCCTGCCCCACTGGGCAAAGGGGAAGCGGGAGGGAAGACCACCATGAGGAGAGCAGAGCCCGGCCCAGCGAGGGAACAAGTCCCCAAGAACGCTGCCCCCAGGTCTGGGTCCAGTCCCACACCCGGGCTCCTGTTAATCCTTTTCTTCTTTCTTTTTTGGGGTCGCGCCAGGTGGCTTCTGGGATCTTAGTTCCCCAACAGCGGATGGAACCTGGGCCCACTGCAGTGAAAGCATGGTCCTAACCACTGAGCCACCAGGGAAGGCCAGGGACTCCCCAGTTCTAGGAGTAGCAAATTCCCTCTGGGGGTGACAGGAATCACATGGGCACCGTGCTGGTCCAGGTGGACGTCACCCTGCTATCTCCCACAGGGAGGGCACCCAGGGGCCCGCAGCTGCCCAAAAGAAGCCTGTATCTCCCGCCTCCCCCACGGCTCCATCTGTCCAAAGGGGCAGAGCAGCAGTGGCCTGTGGCAGCTTTTGTGAGCTTCCCCCCAAAGTCAGCTAGCTGGCTTCTCTCCTCTCCTTCCTCCCTTTCTCCACCCTGCTGTCCAGAGCCCCACCTGAGCCCGGTACCTCCCCACACCCTCCCCAAGGAGGACCCGGAAGTACGCATGCTATGCTCCGAGGCACGTGCCCCCCCATTCCAGCAAAGCCGGGGTCCCCTCCTCACCCGGAGCCGGCCCCGCTCCTCCTCGTTGAGCTGCCGCTGAGATAAAGACAAGGTGCCGTCTTGCTGGTTCCAGAGCAGCGAGCCCCGCTTCCGGAAGTGGGCACTGTCATCTGGGTGGGGGGGGGCACACCTGGACTCAGCGACCTCCCAGCCACAACACCTGTCAACCTCGCAGCGACCAGGTCACCTCCCCACTCTGAGCCGTCATTGTTCCACCTAAAAACTGGGGACACCACCACCTTGTCTTGCCCTCCTGCCTCCCGGGGCAACCCACGATAGGTGCCCAGACCCCACAGCTCCTAAACCTGGCCTCCAACTTGCCAGGTGACCCAGGGTCACTCACATAACCTATCTGGCCCTCAGCTTCCCCAGCTGCAGACCACAGGGTACAGAGCTTGGGCACTCCCAAGGCCAGGCTTTCTTGGGCAGATGGCAGGCTCTGACTGGAGAGGTCTGCAGAGGGTCCCAGCTTCAATGGTTATCATGAACGCCCCCCACTCCAGAGTCTGGGGCCTCAGACTGGATTATGAACCCCTGGGCCACACTGACATATCTGGGAGTCTGGATGCATTAGTGCATTAACGCAGTTTAAGCTGGGCTTTAGAGCAGGTCCTGACTCCGCCATTCACTTGTAAAAGGACCTTGTCTGGTGTCCCTCTGCACCTCGGTTTGCTCTTCTGGGAAGCGGGGCTATCCCTACCACCTCCTACTTTGCATGACTATTCTGAAGATGTCTGAGTTAATATAGGAGGAGCATCTACCAGGGCAGGGCACGGGACAGGTGGTCAGGAAAGTCTGCTCTGAGCTTATTACCACCACAGTGACCTTTCTGACACGGGCATTTGTCTTACCAGTATAGAGGTATTCAAAAGCAGAGCTTCTATCCTTCCCCCATCCAACTCCCCCGTGTTAATGCAAACACACTCCCAAGTGCAAAGCTGTGAGTGAATGGATGACGTGTATCACATAGGGAGGCACCTGAATTCACAGGGCAGTGACTAAGTGTCCAGGTCAGGACGTTGTTGGACTCACCGATCTCAAATGAGTGCTCCAGTAGCAGCCCCACGGTGCCGCAGCCCTCGCCTTCTCGACCTTCCACCCCCACCTGCGCGTGACAGAAAGGGACCCACTTAAGGACCATCAGAGTCCTCAGTCCGGCAGGATCCAGGAACCCCAGGACACATAGACCCGTAGGCTGCTGGAAGAGCCTTATTTTCATACCCATATCCAAACACTGATGCATGCTCACGATTCCACCGGAATCTGACCATTTCATGAAAATTCATGATCTGGACGAGCCCCAGAAAACCAGAGCCTACAAACCAGTTGCCTCGTTTTCAAGGCAACTACCTCCAGGTCACTTTCACGCCTAGCATCATAAATATTCATGAGTTAAAGGGTATCCTTCCCAAGCTAACATCCAAGTGACCTCGGTGTCACCTTAAGCCTCAACAGTCACGATGCCGCCATCAAGCAAATTCAAGATTTCAGGCCTTCCTTTCCTCCAACTCTCCAAATTTCTCCAACCTCTGAATACTCCACTCTCCACCCTCAAGCCTGCGCTACCTCGTTCCAGATTTTAATCCTCGAGCTCAACATTCCGCCCACCCCACGTGTATGCGGGAGACGGAACTCGTCCACTCTTTCGAGACCACCCTCGCCATTTTCATTTTAGACGCCCCGACGTCTGATTTGCCAAGATTCCACCCGGGCCACACATCCTCAAGCATATTCAGGACTGCGGATCCCAAGCGCTCGAAACTTAAAGAAGTTCTTGCCCCGATCTCCTCTTTGGGTGCAGCCGAGTTTTCACCGCACCGATAGCCTTGGGGCCAAAAAAACCCATCCGAGCCCCGCCTCCTTATGCATATTCACGAGTTAGGGCCTCTCTAACCTCTCGCTTTCTCCCAGGCCTCATGCACCCGCAGAACTGCAGCCTCGCTTTGCACGGTTTTCATCTCGTCTTCCCTCCCGGCCCTGCGCAGCCTCGTTCCCACCTTAACCGACCCAAAGACCCAAGACCGCGATCTCCGGCGGCCCTGCCCTCTGTGCAAAGCGAATAAGTACTCACTCCCCGCACAGCGGCTCCGGACCGGCAGCCACTACCCCGCGCCCGGCTGGGCGCTGCTGCCGCCACCAGCAAGAGGAGGAGCAGTCGAGTCGCCCCAGCGGCAGGGACAGACATCTCGGGCCCTTTCCTCCAGCCCAGAGGCTGGAGTCAGGCGGGCGCCGCGGAGCACGCCGGGAGCAACGGGCCGCATCCCGTCGCCCGTGCGCCTGCGCCGGCTTCTTGCGTCTGCGCACTAGCGCCCACCCGCTACCGCGGCCTGACGTCGCTGGGCGACCGCTGCTCCCTCTGGGAGTCCGGGTACCGCCCCCTCTGGTGACGTCACGTATCGACGCCATCCGCCTCGCTGTGACGTCACAGAGCCCGCGGCCCCGCCCTCCCGTTTTCTCCCTGGGCACCGCGCTCCGCTCCTCCCAAGGGGCGGGGCGTTGCGATGAAACGGGAGCCCGAGCCTAAGCCGGCCTTCGGTGGAGCAGGTGAGGCGGGACCAGGCGTGATGGCAGGTGAGAAGTGGAACCGGTCCTGGAGGGTTGGACCAGGTGCGGGAACCAGGTGAGGGATGGGGCCTGCGATGCGGAGACCGGTAGCCGGGAACCCCCTACCCTCCGCGCGGGGCTGTCCGCCCTGGGTAGGGAACCCCTACCCAGCCTCTTGGAATAGGTCTGCGAACTTCGCCGCTTCTGTAGAACGCCCCCTGGTTCCAGCCTGTCCCACGGGCCGGCCCGGACGGCTCCAGCGCCATCTCCTGAGCGGCGAATTCGACCAGCTGCGAGACTTCCCCATCTTTGAGAGCAACTTCGTGCAGGTGCGGGAGCCCCAGAACCCTCTGCGCCGAAGCCTGGGCCCCGACTTCCTGACGCAGGGAACCTCTGCTCACCTTACCACCCATCTCCTGACCTCCACACCCCACGCCCGCCAATACCTCCAAACCTTTAGTTCCTCTGTGACTGCTAACCTTTGATTCCCTCAGTCCATGTCCCTGACTTCATACCCAGGTGACTCGACCTTTGACCCCAAGATATCTGATCCTCTTCTTGATGGTTGACTTTCTTGGTTCATGCCCCTTAATCCTACCAAAATTCCTGACCTCTGATCCCTCCCCGACCGTGCTCCCCATTTGTCCAGCTTCTAACCTCTGTCGCCACCCCTCCCCCGGCCCAGGTGACCCGGTTAGGAGAAGTTGCCAACAAGGTTACCATGGGAGTGGCAGCCTCCAGTCCAGCCCTGGAACTCCCAGACCTGTTGCTTCTGGCGGGCCCTGCCAAGGAGAACGGACACCTGCAGCTCTTTGGGTGACTGCCCCCACCCCCAGCCTACACTGCCTTCCTCCCCAGCTCTGGGCACCCTAGCTCCCCTGAAGCACCTCCTTTCACCTGGATGGCCCCCAGGGCCAGGAGCCATGGATGGCTGCCGGCCCTCTCTGGGCTACCAGTCCACCCAGGAGAACACACACGCACACACACACACACACACACAGGGCCATCTGCAGGGATCAGCAATCAGGGATAGATGGACATGAGGGGGACAGCCCATGGCCACACCCTGGTAGGGGTCAGGAGAGCGACCATTTATGCAGCACCTACTGCATGGGCTTCCTTGGTGGCTCAGATGGTAAAGTGACTGCCTGCAATGCAGGAGACCCGGGTCTGATCTCTAGGTTGGGAACATCCCCTGGAGAAGGACATGGCAACCCACTCCAGTACTCTGGCCTGGAAAATCCCATGGATGGAGGAGCCTGGTAGGCTACAGTCCATGGGGTTGCAGAGTCAGACACAACTGAGCAACTTCAGTTTCACTGCATGGTATGCTGGGGCCCTTTAACCCCATCCTCAGAAAGAAAAACTGAGGCCCAGAGAGGGGAGCCACTTGGCCAGGGTCCTAGTGTGAGTCAGGGGTGTCCTGGATTGGAACCACCTGCTCTTCACGACCAGCCCCCTGGATTCTGGAGCTCTCAGGCCACTCTCTCCACACTCTCCCTGCAGGTCTTTGTGTTTTGTTTTGTTTTTTCATTGAAAAAGTAATGCAAAAACACTCTAAGGTACAAGACACACACAGCACAAAATACACCTTTCTCCCATCCTAGGCTCCTGCCTCCAACTCCAGCTGCAAATACCAAAGCATTTACATGAATAGAGTATATTTACAGAAACATTCTGCCCGTGGCTTTCTTTTTTTTTTTTTTTTTTTGATTGCATGTGTGCTAAGTCATTTCAGTAATGTCTGACTCTGCAACGCTGTGGACTGTAGCCCACCAGGTTCCTCTGTCCATGGGATTCTTCAGGCAAGAATACTGGAGTGGATTGCCATGCCCTCCTTCAGGGTATCTTCCTGACCCAGGAATTGAACCTGTGACCCTTATGTCTCCTGTATTGGCAAGCGGGTTCTTTTACCACTAGCACCACCTACATCTCATAGTTAATGAAAGAAACGGGGCAGGGAAAGGGAGGGGAGGAATGAAGGAAGAATGGAGTCACATTATCACAAACACACACACAGACACACAATCCTTTATTTGCAATTCTGAAATCCAAAAAGGTTTGTTTTGGTTTTTTTTCTTTTTTTGCAACTCATTCAGTGGTATAATGATTCTGACCTGAACGAACTTGAAGCTACATACAGCCTTTATTTATCCGCCCTGGATAAGTTGAAAACATTTCACAAAGCAGTATTCTGTTGTCAGAACCCTGTACTGAGACATTCTCTACCACACCTCCCTTTTCTTTTCAATATTAATTGTATCCCACCACTTGAGTCACAACTTGCAGTTGGAAGAATATCAAGGTTGGTGCTGAGAAGGAGTCTTTGATCTCCTTGTAATCTCCTTCAGCACTCTGCCTTCTCCCACCATAAATCATAACACGGAAGTAACATCATTGAGCCTGCTCTGCCAACTCAGCCTCTAGACTCACCCCCCAGCCCCTCACTTCTAACCAGCTTCCAGCCCTGGGCGATTCTGTGCTGGGATGGACAAGTCCTCTTTTGGACACACCATTCAACAAACTCCACCCCCTTGGGCACCAAGCTTGCATCTGCCTCTTGCTGAGATAACCTAATAGGGAATGTCCTTGAACGAATGGCTGCCTTCAGACAGCTTGGGTTCAAATCCTGGCTTCACCCCTTCTTCTCTGCCTTTGGCCAAGCTTCCTACCTGTCTGGGTCTCAGTTTCCTCACCTGCAACATGGGGATAAGAGGAGAACCCACTTTCCAGGGCTGTCAGGGGATAAACTGAGTAAATGTGAAACACTTGGAACAGCACCTGGCACAGAGTATGCGCTCTGAAAATGTCAGCTGTTATTCTTCCATTTGGGGAGCGTAATAACAGATCGAGTCACCTATGAGGGACACGGATGTGTCCTGTGCCTGGGGTGACTACCAGTGCAGCAGGCAGGGGACATCCATGCACAGCCGGGAGGGTGTGAAGTCAGTTTCTGGAGATACATTGCTGGGCCTGAGGGGGCTGGTGTGTAGCTACCCAGTGTTGCTAAGAACCTTGGTAAGACTTGGGTTCAAATTCTTGCTGTGTGATCTCTGCCAAATTACCCATCCTGTCTGGATTGTTTCCTCCGCTGCCTTTTTTGGGCATTGAATTAGGCTGGGGGCCTGAGCGATTCATGTATTCGATACTCAGTGAGCATTCATTGAGCATGGACTGTGGGTCAGCTCTGGATATGAAGGAAACAGCAGTGGAAAAAACTGGACCAAACTCTCTGCCCTCAAGCTCACCTTCTACTAGGAAGGCAGACAGAATAGATGTCAATTTGTCCAGTGGCTGAGGTCTGTGGAGACAAATCAGAAGGGGGTGAGGGGTGGTCATGGGGAGGTCAGCAAGGGCAGATATGGTTGTAAATAAGCAGGAGGTTGTAAACAGATCTTCTCCCTGAGAAGGTGCCTCTTGAGAAACAGGGGCAACCCTTCTCTTGAGATGAAGAGGGCAGGCCATGGGGATGGTTGGAGGAAGATTTTGGGCAGAGGAAACAGCCTGTGCAAAGGTCCTGGGGTAGGACCAAGCCTGGCAGGTTTATGGAACAGTAGGACCAGTATGGCTGGAGACGGTAAACCAGGAGAAAGGGCGGGAGGGGAGGACAGAGAAGGCACAAAGCGGCACAGAGCCTGCAAAACCTAGCGGTCAAGACCAGGACTCTGTTTCCTCTGAGCCCTGGGAGCAATTTGAGCTAACTCTGGTGTTGATGTGACTCTGAGGCAAAGAATCCACCTGTAAAGCAGGAGACGCAGGAAACACGGGTTTGATCCCTGGGTCAGGAAGATCCCCTGGAGGAGGCAGTGGCAATCCATTCCAGTGTTCTTGCCTGGACAACCCCGTGGACCGAGGAGCCCGGCGGGCTACCGTCCATGTGTCACAAAGAATCGGACACGGCTGAGCACGCCCCCATTTCACCCGGGTGTTGATTGGAGCCCTCTGGCGGCAGTGTGGGAACAGACTGGGGTGAAAGCGGGAAATTGTGGAGACTTAGAAATGGTCGGATTTTGAGTATTAATATCAGTACATTTTAACGGTGGAGCCATCAGGACTTTGTAAGATCGGTTAAAAATGTCAAAAAGACAGATCAGGAGCGACTCGCACAATTTCTGGCTGAGCAAGTGGGAGGATATAGTTAAGACGAAGACGAAGAGGAGCAGGTTTGGGGTTGGGCTTAGGTCAGGAATTCAGCTGTTGGACGTTGTGTCCGATGTCGATCCAACATCCAAATGTTAATTTCAAGTAAGCAGCTATCTATTCGAGTCTCGCGTTCAGGAGGAGGAGGACCAGCGGGAGACACAGATGGGCTCCGTGTCTGGACGAAAGTTTGAGATGGATAAAATCCAAGAGGCAGAGAAAGTGACAAAGGACTCCTTCCGGGGGCGGAGAGGGGCGCTGGGGTGGGCGCTGCTGGCGCCTGGAAGGGTCAGATGCTGAAGCCGCCCCTTCCACCCGCCCAGGCTGTTCCCGTTGCAGTTCGTCCAGCTCTTCGTCCACGACGAAAGCCGCTGGCAGCTCAAGGTCAAGTTCCGCACCGGCCGCGCCTTCTACCTGCAGCTGCGGTCCCCGCCCGAGAGCCGCGACCGAGAGTTCGGCCAGTGGGTGCGGCTGCTCTACCGCCTGCGGTTCCACTCGGCCCAGGGAGCCGTGCCTTTCACCCAGGACTACTCGGCGCTGGAGGACGACGAGGACGGGGACGAGGACGGGGATCTGACGGCGGGAGAGGCGAGGAGGGGGAGGGGCGTGGGCGGGGCTGGGGGCGGGACTCCTGGCTCCGAAGAGGAGGAGGGAGTTGAGGGGCTGGATCCTGTATCTGAGAGTGGAGGTGACCTGGGGCCCAGACTCCTGAGTTCTGAAAGGGTGTGCTGTCTCTGCTCAGAGTTCAGGAGGCTCTCAAAACAGAGCAAGGTCCGCAGGGCCTTGATGCGCCAGCAGAGGTGGCGATGGTTTCCTAATGGGGCACTGCCTACCCAGCCTCCCTCCCCTTGACCTAACACGCTGGGATCTGGAGAGGGAATGCCTAGGCCTTGAAGAGTTGGCCAGGCCAGGGGCCAGTTACCCGGAAGGCCTGGGGAGGGGAAAGACACAAGTCTTCGAAGGTGGGGACACTGGAACCTATGGGGCCCCTTCCTTGAGAATCCCCTGCTCCCCACGTCTTCCTAGACAGTACAGAAGGCCCACTCACCCATCCCCCAAACAGCAGATACAGCCACAAAGCATCTGAGACCAGCTCTCTCTTGTACGCAGCTTCAAGCCATGGAAGCCAGACTGGACCCACAGATGTCTGAACTCTGGGGACTCTGACGCCTCCAACGTTCTTTGAGGTCACCAAAAGACCAGAGATCAAAGTGTCCCCTACCGTGGGGCCGGACAGATGAATTAATATTAAAGTTACTAAAGATCGGCCACTTAAGAACCAAGAAAACCGGGTCATGAGCACTTTCCCCATCGTCACCAACTCAACATGGCGGAAGCAGCTCTTTCAGTAATGGCTGCCTCAGCGTGGTCTCGGGTTCATGGTGTCTGGCTCCGTGGGCCCCGCACGCACCACTCCAGCATGTCTACCCCATAAGGGTAGCCCCCCAAGTCAGTCCTTGGCTTCCTCTTTGACCTACTTGGCTGCCACTGCAGCCGGCCCGCCTCCTCCCCACTCACAGTGGCTCCTCCCAAGAGGGCTGCCTCCACAGGGCTTTGGGTCCCCATGCAGTTGCCATGGCAATGTGGTGAAAGTGAAAGTCGCGTCGGGCTCTTTGCGACCCCATGGACTTAGTCCATGGAATTCTCCAGGCCAGAATACTGGAGTGGGTAGCCTTTCCCCTCTCCAAGGGATCTGCCCAACCCAGGGTTCGAACCCAGGTCTCCTGCATCGCAGGCAGGTTCTTTACCAGCTGAGCCACAGGGTCAGCAACACGGTAGCCTCCCTAAAGTAGCTGTACCAAGCCTCGACATGGTCCCCTTCACCAGGGCTGCCTCGAGGTGGTGGTTGCCGCTCCAACCTGGCTGCCCCACCGCCCACCCCCGGGAGACTAAACCTACGGGAGGAGGAAGACGGAGCCACAGACTCAAGAAGGACAGACACACAGGTGTCAAGACAAGACTACCATCTTCTCACTTATAATTTGGGAAAGGGAAACGTCTCTGGGGAAGTCTGGGTTAGGACTCAGCAGCCAGTTAGTTATCTTGTTAGGTGGAGGACAGAACTTCACTGCGGCACTGTGGGGGGAGGAAGAGAAGAGGGGAGTAAAAATTCCTGTGCCCCCTGCCCCTGCCTCAGCCTCTGCCCTTTAGATTCACTTGGCCAGCAGCGGGGGGTCAAGTTTTCCCTTCCCCACCCTGCTGGACACCAGGTTAACCCAACTTCATCGAGCCCTTGATTCCTGTAGGTTTGAACTCCAAGCTGGCATGTTGTTCTTCCGAGCAGCTGCTAGAGGCCAGCCCTCACTGGAATCCTGAAGAAGCCATATTTCTGAGTGGATTCAATAGTTGATAAGGGGACAGCAGAACACTAGGAAGTGGGTCAGCCCGGCAGAACGGTGCTTTAAAATGACAGGCAGGAGGTGCGTGAAGAGTGGTCCCTTGTCTGCTGGGCTGTCATCAGAGCCAGGGGCGTCACGGCCGGGGACGGACCCTGGAGGCCCATGTGAACGTCGGCCCCTCTAAGGGACGTGGTGAGCAGCCTCCCCACCAAGTCTTGACTGGTGGGTGTTTATTGTACTGAAGCCGGAGACGGGAGAGGGAACGGCATGTGCAAAGTCCCAGGGGCAGGAGACAGCACAGCTGGTTTGTCCAACCCCCAGCTGTTCGGTGTGGCTGGAAAACGGGGAGCGCCAGGAGGAGGACCTGAGGCTGGAGAGGGGCTGGGGGTGGCAGATTCAGGACCGTGACACCAGGCTGAAGGGTCCCAGGGCCGCTGGGGGAGCCCTAAGAGGGCTGTGCGCAGGTCAGCCGTGGTACAGAGCGCCCTCTAGGGCCGGGAGGTGAAACTGGAAAGACACTGGAGGCTGGGGCGGAATTCGGGAGGAAGAGGACAAAGGAGGCCGAGGCTGTGGGGCAGAGAGGCAGGGGCCGGAGGCACAGAGCTTGGGGACAGGCCGTGGGAGGGGGCTGTCTTCCGGGCTCTCCCGGCCGCCCCCGGCCCCGGCCCTCTGCCACTGTCCATGACGGACGGTTTCGATGCTGTGTCCACACACTTCCCCACCTCAAAGCCTTACTGATCATTTGCTAAGCTCTTCGCATCCTCATTCACCTCTTATTTGTCCTTCAGCTCCTCTGGAGAACCTCAGACTCCCGCCCAGGCGGGGTCAGGTGCTACCCCCCTATCCCCCCAACACCCTGTGCTGCCTCTGTCCTCCACACATGACTGTGTCCCTGCTGGGGTCTGAATCGGCTTCCCAGTCGTCCTCCTAGAGGGCCCAGATCTGCCCCGCACCATCAGCTTTGTAACGGCCGTGGATGAGGGTCAGGCGGGTGAAGCGTAAGGGTACCACCCCCCCCCCCACGCCCCCAGGCTCACCTCGGACTTCCAGCTTGCACTCGGCCAGGGCCTCCCCCAGCTCGTTGACGGCCCGACACGAGTAAGTCCCCGAGTCGAAGGGGGACGGGCGGCGGATGTTCAGCGTCAGGACCCCCTGGTGGTTGGTCATCAGGAACTTGGGATCTTCGCGGATCTCCATCTTGTTCTTCATCCAGACCACCTTGGGCTGTTGAGCGGAGCGGACAAGGAAGCCACGTGACGGAGGGTCCCCTGCGCGTTGGCACGACTGGGCCTCGGAGGCAGCGCGGAGTCTCCTTTTGGCTCTCCCAGCCCCTCCCTCATTTTTGACTGGCGGATGGTGGATGAGTCACTCCTCCCTGACCGTCTCCCCTTCGGTAAGAGCAAGAGCTCCCCCTTGTGGTGGCACAGGGCCCTATGTGATTTGGCCCCACCGGTCCTCTGCCCTCACCTCCCGCGCCCTCCCTCTCTGTCCAACCCGTGGGCGGCCTTGCTGTTCCTCAGATCCGTCAGGCCCCGCGAACAGCACCTGCCTGTCTTTGAGGTCTCCGCTCCCAGGTCACTTCCGGGTCCTAGACTGGAACAGGAATGCCTGCTTTACACTCTCACAACCGCCTGCGTTTCCCTAGCGGACCCGCCACCCTTTCTAATTTTCTTAAGTAACTGATTGATTGGGCTGCCTCGGGTCTTAGTTGTATCACGCGGGATGTTTTGCTGTGATGCGCGGACTCTGGTTTCGGAGCGCAGGCTCGGTTCCTCCTTGGCAGGTGGGACCTTAGTCCCCCAACCGGGGATAGAATCCGAATCCTCGTACCCTGAATTGTAAGCTGGATTCTTAGCCCACTGGACCACCAGGGTAGTCCTCACCCTTTATAATTTCATTGTCAACCAGGTGGCACTGGTGATAAAGGACCTGCCTGCCAGCTCAGATGTAAGAGACCTGGGTTCCATGCCTGGGTTGGGAAGATTCCCCTGGAAGAGGGCGTGGCAACCCACTCCAGTATTCTTTACCATCCAAGCCCCCCGGGAAGCCCCCATTCCCATATTCTTGCTTGGAGAATCCCATGGACAGAGGAACCTAGCAGGCTACAGTCCATAAGGTTGCAAAGAGTCAGAAATGACTAAAGCGACTTAGCACGCACGCACGTGTGATTTCAGAGGAATGGCCATCTTCCCCAATATAAAGGAACTCCTTGTTCAATTCACCAGTACATAGAGAGTCTCTGAAATATGTGTGTTGAAAGAATGAAAGAATGAATGATGTAAATAAGCAAATGAAGTGAATGAATGAACTGAATAAATAAATGAATTGGTAGGGGAATAAATGAATGGAATGAATGAACAAATGGAGTTAGTGAATAAAATAGTAAAGAGCAGTGATGGAATCCACGGTAGGCCTACCAGGGCTGATGCAAAAATTGGAGTTAGATCAGAAGACAGCAACATGTGTGAAAAGGGTCAGGCAGTCAATGATTTAGGTTTCCTGAGCTCTATGGAAAGAGATGGGAATATCAGACCACCTGACCTGCCTCTTGAGAAACCTGGATACAGGTCAGGAAGCAACAGTTAGAATTGGACATGGAACAACAGACTGGTTCCAAATAGGAAAAGGAGTACGCCAAGGCTGTATATTGTCACCATGCTTATTTAACTTATATGAGAAACTCTGGGCTGGATGAAGCACAAGCTGGAATCAAGACTGCTGGGAGAAATATCAATAACCTCAGATATGCAGATGACACCACCCTTATGGCAGAAAGCGAAGAAGAACTAAAGAGCCTCTTAATGAAAGTGAAAGAGGAGAGTGAAAAAGTTGGCTTAGAGCTCAACATTCAGAAAACAAAGATCATGGCTTCTGGTCCCATCATTTCATGGCAGATAGATGGGGAAACAGTGGAAACAGTGGCTGACTTTATTTTTCTGGGCTCCAAAATCACTGCAGATGGTGATTGCAGCCATGAAATTAAAAGATGCTTACTCCTTGGAAGGAAAGTTTTGACCAACCTAGACAGCATATTAAAAAGCAGAGACATTACTTTCTCAACAAAGGTCCATCTAGTCAAGGCTATGGTTTTTCCAGTGGTCATGTATGGATGTGAGACTATACATTTGGACTATATTATTTGGACTATAAAGAAAGCTGAGCACTGAAGAATTGATGCTTTTGAACTGTGGTGTTGGAGAAGACTCTTGAGAGTCCCTTGGACTGCAAGGAGATCCAACCAGTGCATCCTAAAGGAGATCAGTCCTGAGTGTTCATTGGTAGGACTGATTTTGAAGCTGAAACTCCAATACTTTGGCCACCTGATGTGAAGAGCTGACTCGTTTGAAAAGACCCTGATGCTGGGAAAGATTGAGGGCAGGAGGAGAAGGGGATGACAAAGGATGAGATGGTTGGATGGCATCACCAACTTGATGAACATGGGTTTGGGTGAACTCCAGGGGTTGGTGATGGACAGGGGGGCCTGGCAGGCTGCAGTTCATGGGGTCGCGGAGAGTCAGACACGACTGAGTGAATGAACTGAACTGAGCTCTAATGGTCTCTGGGCCAGAGACAACACACAAACTAGTGTGAACAGCCATGTTCCAATAGAATCTTATTTAGTAATGTGAAAGCAAAAGAAAAAGGAAAAAGAAAAAGAAAAGAAAAAAAAAGCAAAAAGAAAAAAAGGATTATAAAATCTTATTTCGAGAAACCAATGGCAGACAGATTTGGCCTGAGGGCCGTAGTTTGCAGCCCCTGGTCTAGGTGGGCCCTTGGGAGTTCAAGACTGCAAGTATCCACATTCCCAGACAGCAGCCTGGAGAAATGGATGGGGCAGGAAGATAACAGGGAGCCTTGAAGTGCTAGACCCCCTCCACCCCAAAGATTCCTGTTTTTGAGGGAAGTCGAAGTGTAATGAGCTGAGACTTGCGCTCTGGCTAGAGGAGAG